GTAGGGAAAAAAACTCTTTTGCAAGATCCTGTACACCATAATTTTTGAGGAATAATGGGTCTTGCAACAGAGGGGGTTTTCCAACAAATGGCCCCATCTACACAGGGATTTTTATAGGAAAAACCTCTTCTGCAAAAAGAACTGGAAGAAGATATGCAAATGCGAGCATGATTTGCATATCCCCTTCCACAAAAAAACGGCAAGGGAAAAAAACTCTTTTGCAAGATCCTGTACACCATAATTTTTGAGGAATAATGGGTCTTGCAACAGAGGGGGTTTTCCAACAAATGGCCCCATCTACACAGGGATTTTTATAGGAAAAACCTCTTCTGCAAAAAGAACTGGAAGAAGATATGCAAATGCGAGCATGATTTGCATATCCCCTTCCACAAAAAAACGGCAATGTAGCTGTAGCCTCAGAAGAGAGTTAGGGGTAAATTAGAGCTAAATATCAGCCCAGAGCACTGAGAGCCAGAACTGGTGGGTGTAAACAAACTTTATGGGACTGTGGGAAAGTTGGTCACTCCAATGATAAATGGACATCCAGCTAACTAATATCATGCTGGTCCATGGACGTTGCGAGACCAGAGTATGCCAAACTAGAGAGGTTCAACCTGTATTTTCAAGTTCTGGAGTACCTGGGAGTATTTGTGTTGGAAGACGAATGTGATAATGCATCATGCTGGTATTTTGTCTAGATTTTACCCCTTTTGTAACTGTACCTGTCTCTTTTCCCAGGAGGGGTTGCCCGACAGCTCATATTTTGCCCCAGACTGTTTCCACTTTCACCAGAAGACTCATTCCCAGACTGCTCGTGGCCTGTGGAACAACATGGTAAGATAGCAGAATATCTCTCTACGTTTGTCCGTCTTTTCCACCCTATCCTTTGGCAGCAAAGAGCAATGGTCCATTATATAGTTACTGAGCCACCCCTACCTCTGGTGAGAACAGAACTGTGTTCACTACAGATGGGCACTGTTGCCTTTGTGATATAAAGTCACCTGGACACAAACTGGCTGCATGAAAGGATACCTGACTAAACAGACTAGGCCACCTTCACCATCCAAGCTGGCTATTTATTTTTCACACTTCAGAACCTATCCTGAATAATTATGAATGACCTTTGCACCACAAAATAATCAAAGTGTGAGATATTACATCACTCATACCACATACCTAATATGGAAAGTAGCCAGTTTAATGTGTTAAATGTTTTAAAGAAAACAAAATCCCAGGACAGTGAGTTTTATGGGTTGAGCTGCTATTTCAACATAGAGAGATACAGTACGTAGCAATTTTTGCTGTTCCATTTGTTTCCATAGGCTGATTATATTCAGCTATTCATGCTCTTCCATTCTGGTTTTCATTTTATTTCTTCTCCCCCCATGTTTTTTTTCTGGCATGCAGTTGGAGCCTGTTGGGAACAAGACAGATGCACATTTTCTTGAAATGGTGTTAACTCTCAGATGTCCGAGTCCGGTAGGTTTCAAAATAGTTACGCATATGCTATATACTGTACTGTTCATTTAAGAGGCAGTCAGAGCTTTTAATGGGAGATCCTGTGCGCTGCATTCCAGCATGGTAGCTCCATCACCTTGGAGAGGGCTGCTAGAGGGCACAAAGACAGCAACTTTGTGGTAGTGCATGAAAGCTGGAAATCAAACCTGACTAAACAGACCAGGCTACCTTCACCATCCAAGCTGGCTATTTATTTTTCACACTTCAGATAGCATCAACAGGAAAAGTAAAGTGGCAGGGCAGATAGACAGCTGGTGTCAGCCCCAATCAGCCCAAATCTCCCCCCCCCCCCCACCCCAAATCAGCAGCTACCCCGATGCTGTCTGGTCTGGAATATTTAACATCCTTTTCTATAATAATCAGAAGTTGTTAATCAAACTGGTAAGGGCACTGAGAGCGTCTGAGCTGGTGTGTGTGGTTAACAAAGCATTACCTGTATATTTCAGATGTTTCCTTAGTTGTATGCCTCATCAATATTTCTGCAAAACTATCAGAGGGGTAGCTGTGTTGGTCCTGAGAACAAGAATATACAGTCATTTGAATGGTCTGCAGACAGATTTGAATGGGTGGCTGGGGAACAGATAGTTCCATATATTCTTTTGCAGCTCTGTGTTGACTCAGATTTCCTTATTTCATAGGTTGAGCCCTTCCTGAGGACATACAAGAACAGCAATTATACATACCCCAACCAAACTACCCCAGATATAACAACACCACCACCATCATCTGCCACTCCAACACCAGCACAGGAACCTGATCAGGTAGAGTGTGCACAGGATGTGGGATTGAATTCACTGGAGGAGTTTAGCAGGCTACCAAATGCGAAGGTAGTTTTAGGGCTGTGCAAAATGTTTGTGTAACCAGCTAAACTTGTGCCTATTCAAATACCACATTAATCAGTCAGGATTGCTTTTCCATTCTGAATAACACTAAAGGCCTGTCTCTATTTGAAATGTATTAACTGGCGTTATCTCCCATTAAAGTGCCTTGCCTCCATACACACGATATTTTGTTGCAAATCAGCTAGCATTTGTCACACATGTTAATAAGCCCAATTTAGGAGTGGGTTTAGTGAAATGCAGGATGAATGTATCCACACAAAGTAAGTGTGGATACAGCTCCCTCCCAAAATAATTGTTATACATCTTCTGTGTCTATCTACTGGTATCCCATGCTGCTTTGCCAGCTACCTGTGTTAGTCTATCTAGTTATGCTGAATATCCCTGTTTCAATCCTGGCATTTAGCCAGGTGTTGTTCTGGACAATTCAAGCCCATGTGGAGTTTGCTTATCTGTATCATCTCCTGATTGTTCATCAGTCATCTTCATGCTTCACTTTGGACCTTTAGTAAGATCCTGGACTTCATTGCCCTCTTCATGGGAGAGAAATATGTTCAAGCCTGTCTGAAAGGCAGTCGCTCAGCATAAGTCTACACGCAGGAAGACAGGCACATGTAAAAGAGGGGGAGGGTCTCCCATCCCACAGTAAGGTAAATGAGAGGTGGCTGGACTATGTGAATGCTACATGTAACAGAACTCCGGGGAGAGGTAGCATGTTCTGCAGTTCCTATGAAGAGCCGAACCACATGTTTGTTGGAGATATCACCACTCAGCCTCTGCATTCAATGGACTTGCCAATTGAGCCATGACCCCGAAGACAGTCAGTCATGGATATCCAGAACACCTCTTTCCATGAATCAGCCAGAACCCTGAACTAGGGTGGAGACCATTTCCAGTAAGTATTGAACGATATATTAAAATACAACTGTACAGAGGGAGAGTTATATAGTTTAGCTGAGGGTACTATAAGGGTGCTGTCATGCTGATCTTCCTTCTGCCTGCCTCCTGGATTTTTAATCCTCTCCCTTCATCTTCAATTCATGATGGCAGCCCTTCCAGAGTCAATAGAAACACTCTCTGCCTATTTTCCTACGACCATGCAAACACACACACACATTTAATCTATCTATCTCCCTCTGCACCCTCCTCCCCAACACACTGCTTGTTGGCATGTTCCTCCTGCCCATCTCCCATAGTGGTTAATCCATTCAGTCCCTCCATGAAGCTTCTTGAAGGACAGGCACTTTTATTATAGCAGCACGTACGGAAAATCAAAAGTTATGTTTCTTGCTCCGTTTCACTGATGCACTGAGCCTTGAGCCCACATGAAGTAGGAGATAAATAGCCTAAATCAAATACAGGCATTTCAAAAAAGCAAGGTTGTAAGGCACTTTCTAGAGTTCACTTCCAGCGCAGTCCCTCTCCCCCTCCTCCCCCACTGTTAAGCTAGAATTCTATTAATTTTGCAGTGTAATGTATGCTCAACTCTGTAGATGTTAGAAACAAGACTTTAAAAAATGTCTAAGTATGTCACAGTTTCCTTCCACACTTGTGCTGGTTCTGGGGGCACCATCCTGGCAAACAGCAGCCTGGCATATTTTCCTGATTTGCCCATTTTTAAAAATCCAAAATCTTTGCCTTTTGGGGACATACTCAGTGTATCATTCTCCAAAACATGGAGGCTGTGTCTAGACTGGCATGTTTTTCCGCAAAAGCAGCTGCTTTTGCAGAAAAACTTGCCAGCTGTCTACACTGGCTGCTTGAATTTGCGCAAGAACACTGACGATCTCATGTAAGATGCTCCCGCTCAGGGATAAGCCCTCTTGCGCAAATGTATTTGCGCAAGAGGGCCAGTGTAGACAGGGGAGAACTGTTTTGCGCAAAAAAGCCCCGATGGCGAAAATAGGATGGCGAAAATGGCGATCGGGGCTTTCTTGCACAAAACCATGTCTAGATTAGCCTGGATGCTTTTCCGCAAAAAGTGCTTTTGCACAAAAGCATCCATGCCAATCTGGATGCTCTTTTCCACAAATGCTTTTAACGGAAAAACTTTTCCGTTAAAAGCATTTGTGGAAAATCATGCCAGTCTAGACGTAGCTGGATAGTCTATAGATGTGTGCATGCAATTATTAGTCTAACTCTACATTGCCCTGTTTTAGCTAGCCACTCTGCATGATTCACCTGATATTTTAACCCCCCCCAAAGTTTACATACACACCCACACAACCCTCTCCTGCCATATGCCCAGAGGGTTCTTACACAAATTGGAAGTTTTAAAACTTCTAACAGATGCCAACCTCAGCCACGATTGAGAGAGTATGGGAATAAAATTCCAAAATCAAGGAAAAAGCAACATTTTAGCACTTTTAGACTAGAGACTACAATTTGGATAAATGTTCCTTTTTCTCTTTTCTCATAGCACTAAGCTGAGGAAGGAGGGAGGCGAGAGGACAAGCAAATTGGTAGCATTGCAGACACGTCTGCTGTGGATGAAGAGACAGTGAAACCTCCTGAAACACTTGGCCTTGGAACTTCCGATTTTGTACAGCTTTATAAATGTTCAGTAAAGTTAAACTTGATGTATTCATTGCTATTGATTAAATAGAATTTAAAATGTCTTTACGGTCATAATTGAGTCTTGAATCATTCACTGAACTGTCCAGTATCACTGTAATAAAACTCACATGAACAATAATAGCAAAACAAGCTCTCTCTCCCAAGGCACACCATAAAGTGTACTAAAACAACCATAAACTGCTATATACACTTCAAGTATAATTAAATCCTTTTATTGGTACACATACAGAAGACTCAATAATCCTGATAAATACCCTATACAAAAGCATGTATATTTTTCACAAGAGGCCTCTATATGCAAAGTATGAGCACAGTGCCCCCCTCCACACACACACACACACACACACTGCCCATGAGTAGCTGTGTCATTTTGTAGAGGCCTCTTATCTGACCAAAATGCTTTCTAAGTCTGCCCATCTCTAGCTTCTATCTACTTACCTTCCTTTCTCTCACAAAGGTTGTGCAAAATTGCACCAGGAGAAAGTTTCTCATTAGTCTCAAAGTCAGGACCCTCCATCTATCAGATTTCAGAATAATAACTGATTGTGTATTTAAAAGTTGCCTGGGGTGTGGTTAAAACTATTCCTTTTGCTTAGCCAGATGTCAAATAAAAGGCTTCATAAGCCCAGGAAGCAAGGGGTAAACTGGGATTGCCCTGAATAAGTAGAAAAATAGCTGGGGCATTTGATGGGATCTATGTTATTCTCTGACACCCTTCTTCACATGAGGCTTCAGAATTCATCAACAGAAAGAGATATTTCTCCATGCTGCTTTGAACCTAGCTGGTGACCATAGAAGGGTCACCAATATAAATGTAGAGTAGTCTGGAAAAAGTCATAATGCCATGATCATTAGAAACCAGAGTTTGTTTTCTGCAATAAGAAATAGAACTTCAACTCCATGAACTCTGTGGACACTGATGGGGCTCGTCTACACTGGCCCCTTTTCCGGAAGGGGCATGTAAATTTCATGAGTCGTCGTAGGGAAATCCGCGGGGGATATTTAAATATCCCCCGCGGATTTCCCTACGACGACTCATGAAATTTACATGCCCCTTCCGGAAAAGGGGCCAGTGTAGACGAGCCCCATCAGTGTCCACAGAGTTCATGGAGTTGAAGTTCTATTTCTTATTGCAGAAAACAAACTCTGGTTTCTAATGATCATGGCATTATGACTTTTTCCAGACTACTCTACATTTATATTGGTGACCCTTCTATGGTCACCAGCTAGGTTCAAAGCAGCATGGAGAAATATCTCTTTCTGTTGATGAATTCTGAAGCCTCATGTGAAGAAGGGTGTCAGAGAATAACATAGATCCCATCAAATGCCCCAGCAGATTTCAAAATCTCAGCTGTGCAAACCCATTTATAATCTCCACTATGTTGCCCGGTTTTGTGATCTGTGGAGCAGAATCTTCTTGATAGCAGCGCTCACCTCCATGACAAAACCCCCAGCTATGGATTTAGCCCCATCAAATGAGTTAGCTACTGACTGGTAGCAATAGGGGGAGAGTGGGCGGAAGCTTCCAGCTAGCAATTGCCTCATACATTTTCATACAGAGGAGAGCTTTCATGTGGGTGTTCTGTTGCCATGCTGCTTGGCAGGGCTTTGAAAAGGGGAATGGCTGACTCTCAAAAAAACAGTTGGGTAATGGGGATAAAATGGAGGAATTCTGAGAATTCTGCATTTTGACCTCAAGCTGAAGAACTTCATTGCTTGCCAGTAGACATTGCACCAAACATGTGAGAATGCATAGAGCAGAGCAGTGCACTGTGGGATGTCTGTCCATAACACGGAACATTTATTTCATCACGTTACTGTGCTGTGTGGCTGCAATAATATCAGGGTAAGTAATGCTAATCGTGGCTTAACAGAGTGGTATGTATGCCCCATTCACACTATAGTTATTGGCAGTTGCTTTACAAATGCACAGAACCACAACAGTTTTCAAGTGCAGACATGCCCTGAGTGTGACATTGATTTCAGTGACCGATGTCTGCCTGATTAATTACAGACAAACAGGGATGTGATTTATTATCTTGGCTGATACTGTGTTTCCTGGTCCAACATTATTATTGATTTCCTCCTCCTCTCCTTCCCCCCCCCCCGCCTTTCGCCCCCCCCTTTTTTCTTCCTTTAGAATCATGGGAGTCAGCTGCTGTGTGAGGACAGAGCTCCCTCCAGCTCTTCGCCAACTTCAGGTAACCTGACCTATTTGGGGTAGGAGATTGTTTCTTCCTTACATCCTGAGGAAAGTTTTGCTTATGTTTACATAATTATTGGACTGTGGAAAAATTATGCCACTTAAGGACAATACTATTTATAGATAGTTAGGAGGTATGATGCCAAACTTTCCTTGTAGGGATTATTCAGACAAAGCAATTGCAGTTAATTTATTTACAGCAGATAATTCCTGCACTATGCAAAATATAAGGGCTGACAGAGCCTATAAATGGTATGGTCTAATGTTTGGGGCTGTGGATTTAGAGTCAGGACTTCATATTTTGTGGTTTGTTACCTGGTAGTATTCAACTTGTTAATGCCTTTTTCATACCCTGCTGCATTGTTGCAGCAGTTGCTATCCATATGCCTGCTCTGTAATACTGAATTACCCTGTCTTTATTCTGATTTCCCCAACACTGGATATTGGTCACTGGCCTCCGACAATGTGGCATGACTTGCTCTTTGCTCTCCCTTCTTTTGTCTGTGGTCTTAAGCAAGCATAAGAACTTGTGACAAGATGAGCTGGAGAGGTCTCCTGTTTCATTACCTGGGCATTGCAAAAAAAAAAAAAAAAAAAAGGAACCTAAATACGGGGTGGAATAATTCACATCTAGCAGTGATGGAGAAGCATGGATCTGTTCCTTGTTGAGGCTTACCTGCATCTCTCTGCCTTACAGTGCATGCTCTCAAACCAGCTGATGTGCGAGTGATAGCAGCCCTGGGGGATTCTTTGACAGTAAGGACCTTTGTGTTTTTACTGTTTTTTGTTTTGTTTGCTGGTGGAACAGAACATTTTGTCTGCTTAGACTGGGGGCAGGAGGAGGAAGCTGAGCTCTTATTCTGGGACAGTGAGATACTCATTCATAAGCAGAAGACAGATATCTAGAGCAGATCACAAGGTATCAGATCCTCTGAATTCTAATTCTAATATTATCCCTGAATGGTATGAATTTAGACAGGTCACGTAAGCGTTTGCTTAAATCTTTGCTGAACCTGGTGTCAGAGGGTAAGTCCCATTGAAATTGGTGGGGTTAAAGCACATGCTATAAAGTGGACTGCTGAACAGAATGGACTGCTGAATTGCTGTCTCGGTTCATTCTGCCTGATAATTTGTTATTGCCTTCTCTTGCAGTGAAGGTTTTTTTCTAATTAAATAAAATGGCTTTTGCTTGCTTGGAAATGTGTGAGAAAGAAAAGAGATCCAAAATATTCAGACACTTCATAGTGCGTGATTAACTGATAACCAGGCTCTTTATCAAACTCGCCATGGACTTAGTCCTTTATCAAACTCACCACGGACTTAGTTAATCTCCTTTCACATGTTTAGCAGGCATCTCCCTTTCAAATGTAAGTCCAAGGAATATTTGTGCAAACTCACCACATAACTTTCTGGCAGGTGTGATGCTGCAAATTTCTGCATACGTGAGGCCATTGACATCAACACAAACATTTGACTAAATACATACCATGCTAATTACTATAGTCACGATTCAACCACAGTTGCCATGTGATAATATCCAAAATACAGCAATTGTTGCTGCTACTTTAGTATCTGATACCCTTGTGTAGGAGGGCAGAATTTGGTCCATGGACTTAATGTTCAGTCTTCTATCATGTGACAAAACTCATGTTTGGGGAAAATAGGGGACGGTGTGGTATAGCCGCCCTGCAGATTTTATTGACTAGAGCTTGAGAAGGCTGCATTACTTCTGAATAGGGAAACGCTACATGAATTATAAAACAATCCAGATGCACCTATATAACCTTCTTATATTTTGTTTATGCCATGTATACAGCAATAGTGTGTAAAGAATTTTTTTAAATGTATTGGTGCTATTTTTCATAAGTCTTCCTGAAAACCCAAGTGCTAAAGTAGCACAAGCTTGAATGTAATAGACCTTAAAGGAGAAACCTGTTTATGAAATAAATAATTAAGATCACCGAAATATATGACTGGACAAAATGTTCATTTTTTGGCTTGGTTTAATTGTATTTAGGCTGGTAATGGAATTGGTGCTAGATCAAACAATACCGTGGATATGAACACAGAATATCGGGGCCTGGCTTGGAGGTAAGTCATTAATTAAGGAACTGAGAAAATATATTTGGTTTCTCATGAAAAAGTATAGGATTTTTTCACTTGTCAAAAACTGGAAAAAATGGTCAGGGTTGGCCTTTCTTTTGAAACATTGTTTTGTTATACATGCAATTTTCATTTTAAAAAATCATCAATAAATGTTCAACCAGCTCCAGTCATTAGTTTTTGACTTCTTGTACACAAAAGGTTTCATACACCGATTTGATTTATATGAATGGGTAGGAAAGTAGACATCTCTCCCAAAAGCCAGTGAAAAATCACCAGGGTAAAGAAATCACAGCTGCTGTCATTCAAGAGGTCTGCTCACAAGGTCTGCTCTTTCTAAGTTTCTGTTAAAGAAAAGAAAAGAAAAGAAAAGAAAAGAAAAGAAAAGAAAAGAAAAGAAAAGAAAAGGTTCTGTGGAAAAAAACACACTTCTTTGCTGCTGTTTGGCTGGAAAACTTCCCTCCATTCCTCCGGTACAACTCAGCTGTGCTCAGTACAAGATCAGACAAGGGGCTAAGGAAGCTTTTTACTATGTTGATTCCCTAGTTCAAGTTAAAGAAAAGAAAAGAAAAGAAAAGAAAAGAAAAGAAAAGAAAAGAAAAGAAAAGGTTCTGTGGAAAAAAACACACTTCTTTGCTGCTGTTTGGCTGGAAAACTTCCCTCCATTCCTCCGGTACAACTCAGCTGTGCTCAGTACAAGATCAGACAAGGGGCTAAGGAAGCTTTTTACTATGTTGATTCCCTAGTTCAAGTTACACAGGGAGCCAATCTGGTGGCTGGGAACCACTGAGGCATAAGAATGTTCCAGCCATTCTTCTCTCTGGACATGTTTGTGACATGTAGTGATGAACAGGAGGAGCCAGTACAGCAGCTATCGGCCACTTTAGGGGTATGTCTAGACTACATGGCTCTGTCGCCAGAGCCATGTAGATTAGTTTACTAGACATACCCAAATGAAGCGGCGATTTAAATAATCGCCGCTTCATTTAAATTAAAATGGCTGCCGCACTGAGCCGATCAGCTGTTTGTCGGCTTAGAGCGCTAGTCTGGATGCTCCGTGATCGACATCAAAGGCATTTGACGACCGCCCCGGTAAACCTCATCCCACAAGGCATAACGGGGCGGTCGACAAATGCCTTTGATGTCGACCGCGGAGCATCCAGACTAGCGCGCTGAGCCGACAAACAGCTGATCGGCTCAGTGCGGCAGCCATTTTAATTTAAATGAAGCGGCGATTATTTAAATCGCCGCTTCATTTGGGTATGTCTAGTAAACTAATCTACATGGCTCTGGCGACAGAGCCATATAGTCTAGACATACCCAAGGGCTACATCTAGACTGGCATGATTTTCTGTTAAAAGCATTTGTGGAAAAGAGCATCTAGAGTGGCACGGACGCTTTTCCGCAAAAACACTTTTTGCGGAAAAGTGTCTGTGCCAATCTAGACGTGCTTTTCCACAAAAAATCCCTGATCGCTATTTTCGCAATCGGGGCTTTTTTGCGCAAAACAAATCTGAGCTGTCTACACTGGCCCTTTTGCACAAAAGCTTTGCGCAAAAGGGACTTTTGCCCGAACGGGAGCAGCATAGTATTTCCGCAAGAAGCACTGATTTCAGACAGTAGGAAGTCAGTGTTCTTGCGGAAATTCAAGCGGCCAGTGTAAACAACTGGCAAGTTTTTCCGCAAAAGCAGCTGATTGTGTGGAAAAACTTGCCAGTCTAGACACAGCCAAGGAGTCCTCAATGCAAAGAGAATCCATAGGGGGTTGGTTGAATTGGCTCCAGTGTCGCTCTGTACTGCTGGAATTGAGGTTGATCCTTCCAGCTCTTGCTACCATGAATAGTCCCATTGTGCTGTAGATTTTGCAGGATCAGGCTTTTGTAGGATCACTCAGGGAAAACTGTCCAGATATAAATAAAGTTATCTGTCAAGTTGGGAGCATGGGGGTGAGAGTTAAATATCCTGGCTAACTAAGTGTTATAGTTACCAATGTTATACCAGTTTTTAAAGAACTAGAATACAATAAAATGAATGAAGTATAAAATAGTATACAGGTACTCACCAATTCAGTAGGAGTACTGCATTGCAGAGCAATTGGTTTCTTCAAGTCCTAAGGTGCATACGGATAAAATTTTCTATGTAGCAGTGGTCATCAACCAGTAGATTGGGATCTACCGGTAGATCTTGGAGCCTCTGACAGGTGATCCTGACTGGTTTGGCCAAGAGGCTATCAAGTGCCCTCACTTCAGCTGCCCCTCCCACTACTGCTGCGCATCTCCTGTCCTTTGCCTTGGAGCTGACGCCCTTCACCACCAGTAGCCTCCTGCTTTCTGTGCAGGGCAGAGGAGGGAAAAGAGGGGCACTGATGTCAAGGTCCCTTCTCCCGTCCTATATCCTATCTCCACAGAGCAGAGTGTGGGACACAACAGGGCTTGGGAGGGAGTTTGCTGGCTGCCTTTGGGAGAGGTGCAGGGCCAGGGCAGGGGTGAGCCTGACTTAGCCCCACTGCACCACCACCCAGGAACCACCTGAGGCAAGCAGTGCCCAGTCAGAGCCCACATCCTGAAACCCCACCCCAGTCGTGAACCCCCTCCTGCGCCCCAAGGCCCTGCCCCAGTCCCAAGCACCGTTGCACCCAAACACCCTCCCAGAGCCTGCACCCAGAACCCCTCCTGCACTCTGACTACCTGCCCCAAGCTCAGCTCAGAGCCCCTCACACTCTCTAGATCCCATAAGCCAAGACCACAGCCTGCACCCCAACCCACTACCCCTGCCTGCTGAAAGTGAGGGAGGATGGGGGAGGGAGGGAGGATGGAGTAAGCAGGGGCAGGGTCTCAAAGAAGGGGCACGAAGGAGGCAGGGCAAGGGTATTTGGGTTTGAGGTAGATCTCGGATTGCACTTAAATTCAAAAAGCAATCTCGTGCTTAAGAAGGTCGGAGACCTCTGCTATAAAGTATGTTATCTTAGGACGTTACATATCACTATGGGCAGTGCATGGTGTACACCCTGATCACTAAAAATACACTTAACGTTACAACTCTACTGAACATAATCTAATCTTTCTTTGATTATTCAGAAGGCACTTCAAGATCTTGCAGTGCCTCAAGGGCATCATTATCAACATCTGTTAACATTTTAGAGGTTAGAAGGTACAGGAGATTGGGCTCAATCTATAATGACCCTAATGACACACCCCCGAAGCTGCTTATTTGAATAAATCCCTGATATCAGCTTGCTCATTCGTATCCTACCTCTCTTGCATAAAAGTAAAGTGCAGTGTGTGCAATTGCATAACCTCCTGGGCAGTATACTAGCCCTTGTTACTAGACTAAAGATTTGTATGGGGAGAGATCAGAAATGCTGGCTAATAGAGTTTTCCAGTTGGTAAAGGGCCGGATAACACTGCTTTTACTGTATTATATACCTACACAAAACCCTTTCCTTTCCTGTGTCCATGTTAGACTATTAAACCCAAATTAATTTTATGTTACATTTACTTTTCACTATTTAAATTGTTTGCTTCACTTGCACAGAGACACTGGCCAATTTCACATTAATATGTTCTTAAGTACCAGCCCCAAAATCCATAGTTCAGGTTATAAACATTACTAGGGATGTTTAAGGCCATCTGCAGCCTTTTTCCTCTGGAAATCTGGGATTTTAAATTAGAGGCAAAAGTAAGCAGGTTCACCCTGATGTACATCTCCAGCAAGAGCTGGCTGAGCTGCAGCAAAAGCCAGCAAGGAGCTATTTAAAGAGCTGGCAGGAACCTGGGTTGCAATGGGACAGTGCCTGTAAGAAATGTTAAGTCACTTTCACTGCTGGTTTAAATTCACTTGCAATTTCTCCCTTCCTTGAAAAAGTGATTTAATTCCAACCACCTTCCCAGTTTCTCAATGCTCCTGCATTCCCCCATCTGATGACTTTGACCTCACATTCTCAGCTGCAAAATGCACAAGTGAACCCTTCTGATAGCATCAGTGCTACTAGAACTCTCACTTAAGCCCTTAAACAAGCACTTATACCTGGATCCCTCCACCCAGTTATGAAAGCCCTCTAGCTCCCAAGTGTCATGGATCCTTCATGTCTCCCTGGCAAGGACAGAAAATCTAAGTACTGTACAGTACTAGTCCCCTGTTGCCTTTCTGTCTAAGCACAGCTAAAAGATTACTGATTTAATCTTTGCTTCTCTTTCCAATTGCAGTATTGGAGGGGATGCTTCATTAAAGAATGTAACAACCCTGCCTAGTAAGTAAAAGATTTTCTGTTATATCCAGGTGCTACGATTCAAGGGAGAGAATAAATTGACTGATACACGATAACTATTATGTGGACAGCAAACTTACCATGAACTTCTCTTAACACTTTAAAATCTATGCTGGGGTAATTCACAAGACTGGGCATTCATGGAAAGGCACATATTTTCATTGACCTCATCATTGGCCTCATCAGTGAAGCTATGAGAAGGCTGCAAAAATGCTTCAGTGAATATTAATTTGAATTTTTCAATATGCTTGCTGTGATTGTTCTGGTACCCTGTTTGTGTTAGCTTTCTGCAAATGCTATATAGCAAGTCCCTTTTCAGACCAGAATGTTAGCCAAAATCAGATATTTTAAGTGAATATTGCTGAATATTTGTATATTAACTTACATTGGTGGTTTGGCACCTGCTACATCTGGCTGTAAAATTTCAGCACATTTTTTGAATTACACTTTTTAAATGTTTCATTTATAAAGGGCTAATCCATATTATAAGCATATTACAGACCTTTGTAGTAAGTATACTAAAAGGTTATAAGCACATCATTAGGAGTATGCAAGTTATAAACCATGAACGTTATAAACCATATTTATAAGCAATTTATATTGATTTAGCAAAGTAAAATTGATTACGGTAATCATTTATTAAAACTTTTTATTAATCCCAAGCTATTTATTTAAAATGAAGCCTTTTGTTAATGTTTTATAAATAGAACCCTTAATGTAATTGTGTCTTTCTTTGTTTTTACTAGCATCGCATACTCCCACAGACACAGAAGTGTTATTTATTACTAGCCCAAGCCCACTGTGCTGCTGACTGGTCTTTTTGAGCCACAGAACTAGGATAATGAACATAGAAGGGCTGTGAATAATTTTCTGCTTCCTAGGATCTAAGCCTTTTAATGCATAGGTCTGTGATCAGCAGGTGGTGATGCATAGCTGTTCAGATATGCACAACAGAACTCCCAGCTAAGAGAAGCTTGTCACAGCTCCTTCTAGATCAGCTAGACTGGGGGACTCTCCTTCCCCCTGACAGAAGGGCTGTTTGCTGACCAGGGGGTTTCTCATTCAAGCTATAGCCATGGCAATATGCAGGATGGACACAAACTATGGGCCTATACGTACTCCGTCCACCTCCCCTACCTAGGATAGCTGCCAGCTTTCTAATCCCACAAAACTGAACTCCCCTGCCTTGCCCCAAGGCCCCATCCCTGCTTGCTTTATCTCCCCTTCCTCCCTCACTCACTCTACCTCACCTCTACCCTTTTGTGTGCTCTGGGTAGAGCCAGAAATGAATGTAGGAGAGGACTCTGGGCTGGGCTTTGGGGTGGGGAGTGAGGGTTCTAGCTGGGAGTGTGGTTCTGGGTTGGGTCTGGGGATAAGGGGTTTGGGATGCAGGAGGGGATTCTGGGCTTGGGCAGGGAGTTGGGACATGGGAGAGGGATTGGAGCCCTGGTGGTACTTACCACAACTTCCAGGAAGTGGCCACCAGGTCTCTTCAGCCTCTAGGTATATAGACATCAGGGATGGACATCAGGCACTGCCCTAGTTCCCACAGGTGCCACCTCCCAGCTCCTATTAGTCACAGTTCCCAGCCAATAGAAGTTGTGGAGCTGATACTCATAGCAGGGGCAGAACACAGAGCCTCCCCGTCCCTGGCCACCCCAGCACATAGAGGCTACTGGTACCCAACAGCCACTTCCAGGAGTAGGTTACTAGCCCAAGGCCCCCACTGTGCTGCTGACTTGACTTTTAATAGCCTGGTCAGCAGTGCTGAGCAGAGCCACTGATGGGGCCGTCTGGTTGGGGCGTTCCTTCCCCCACCAGCCACTTCCAGGAGTAGGTTACTAGCCCAAGGCCCCCACTGTGCTGCTGACTTGACTTTTAATAGCCTGGTCAGCAGTGCTGAGCAGAGCCACTGATGGGGCCGTCTGGTTGAAAACTGGACTCCTGGCAACCCTGTCCTCCATCACGATTGCACTTGATGTCAATGGGATTGCACAATGTCTGAGTCAGAACTCAACCCTGTGCTTTCCCTGCTGCCTCTGGTGTCGCTTGGCTGGCACAGCAGTGTCCAACATACTGCTTCCCCTGGCTGGACACAGCAAGGTAAGCGGAGAACAAGCAGCGGCCTTCATGTAGCAGAAACCAAGAATCTAGGGGTGGGGTGGGGCTTATACTTGTCTTCTCCCCTTGGTGATGAGCAAGTAGAGTCACGCTCTTCTCGTTATCCTCTTCCTTCTTCAGATATCCTTCGGGAGTTCAACCGCAACCTCACTGGTTACTCCACTGGCACGGGAGGAGCAAGTGAGCCGAATGCCTTTCTCAATCAGGCAGTTCCTGGAGCAGTGGCTGAGTAAGCTGTTTTCCCCCCTCCCGCTTTGGGATGCAAGGATTTGGCTGCTTGATTCAGGGTTGTGGCTGCGTCCTTTGGTGTGGTGTGTCTCACATGCTGTCATAACGTCTGCTTACTAGTGAGCAAAACCAGTTTAGCGAGTGCTTCTTGTTGGTTCCTGGCTCATGCTCCAGAGTCTCTGCTGTACTAAACATAAGCTGATTGGCTTGCTTGATTTTTATAAGGAAGCCATGTGATATAATGAAGTATGTGCCAGAACCCCTTGAATTACAACCATGGCAAGTCCATTAGTGGAAAGACCTTGTCCCAAAACAGAGCTTATGCGTCCAGAGAGGAGGAGTACAGTGGGGAAGGGAACAGTCAGTTAGTGTATTATTCTTTGACTTCTGGAGACCTGGGATCCCCACTAACTAGTGAAAGGGAGTGTAGTAGATCTTACCTTAGTCTACAGGAGGTGTTGCACAACTCAGCACATTGTCAATAAAGCAAGTCTGGCTGTGGGCAGGCAGCAGCCCTCCTTGGGACACTGGTTTGCTGGAGAAGCCATTGCAGAAACTGAACCATTCTTTAGTCTTCATATGTACTCCAGCAGCAAGAAAGTGCAGAAATTGGTTTTGTATAAGTTAAACGTTGGGGCACAAGCAATGGCACTGAAACCGTTGAAGCTCCCTCCCCCATCTTAGCCATCTGTGCCCCTACACAGCTGGACGCAGCTTCGGAGTCCCGGGGGCAGGACTGACCGATGGGGCCCCAGGCAGCCGGAATCCCCACAGGCAGCAGGACTAGCAGTTAGGACCCCCTGGAGCTGGTGGCTGGGACCCTGGGTAGCAGCAGGGGCCCCAGGGTGCAGGCTAGTGGCTGGGACCCCAGCACAGGATGTAAAATCCGAGAGGTGCCCCAGCATCCCCCATGCTCCTACTTCCCACATCTATGCTGTTAGGAAATGGCCTGTATGTGGCAGAAAGTGGAATAGTGAAGAATGCTGAATTTCCAATGAGCAGCTGGGAGAGAGACTGCATGGAATCTTCTGTGATTATGCTCTCAAGTGAGGAGGAGTGGGTGAGAGAAACAGCAATAAACCAAGCAGCCAGTCAGATTGCTTGATCCTTATGAGGACAGGTGACAGCAAGACATAGGCTTTAGGCCAGTTTGATACCTCATATAAGCAGCAGCAATTTCATTGAGTTCAATGTGATAGTAGCCTCAGGCAGTTTGAATATATCCCTTTGACTTCAGCCATACTTGGGAGATCCAAGTTCTCATCTTTAAAATCTCGTTTTAAAGATTACAGGGAGATGATGGGGCAAAGTGGGAGGGTTCATATTTAGGATGCCCATCTTCCGCTTGTATTTAAATAATTAAGCAGCTGGCTGCTGAGTCAGGCACAGCCACCATTTGGGCAGGATTTCTGGCTGACGGTGCTTGTATTTTACACTGGTGAGTGATAATGCTAAAAAGATTCTTGTTTCAATCTCTCTCTCTCTTTTATTAAAAACAAAATGCTCCATTTCTCCAGCAGCTTCCACTTGGAAGCCAAGAGAGCTCCTGCATTTGCTCTGCCTACATGATAACTGTTAAAGTTTTATCAATGATCAAGATATTATTTTAATATTTCAGGAGTGATTTCTTCTGTAGGTTACAAGAATATTTCTGACTCATCCTAATATTCACTGCCAAAATGAGAGTCATTGGTTAGATGCTTTGAAATATCTCCCGCTGCCATGAAATATTTCCCTCTGCCCTGTACCCCTGAAAAAGGAGGGATTTTCATTCTGTAATGAATCCATTTTTATTTCCCAGTTAAGTGACTCCCTGTGTGAATAGTAAACTTCTGTACAGCTTAGGGGTCTAATATCCTGGGCTGATTTTACAGCATCAAAATCAGATCGCAATTAAACTACCTGTCCCTGTTTTACTTGGTATAATGGGTGTGTCGGGCTGTCTGATTACCATAGGGAATTGGAAACAGGATAACAGAGTATTCTAGTTGTATGTCACCAGCAGCAATCACATCTTTTTCATCAGGTGTCTTTATGGTAGTAGTCCATTTGAATTGAACTGATATGTGTCAGTCTAGTCTTCAAGGGACAGTTGTACATGTGACAAAGGTCATCAGTACAGTTAGCACTAATTGGACCCTTATAGACAGTCTCACTGTGATGGCAAGCATGCCAGAGGCATGGAATCTGAGCTACTTTCTCTCTGGCTGTGCAGTGTCTTCAGTTCATGGCTGAGACCAAACTGTCAAAACCTGCACTGCCAGTGAAGTAACTGTTGTGTGGACTCTCAATCCAGAACCTTTCAGGGAATGTGCTCTGGACCCTTAAATAGCTTTTCCCTTATCTAAAACTGATGTGAATGGTCAGCTCTAGCTTCCTGTGAAATTCAAGATGGGAGTAAATCTGAGTAAGCTACAGACCTTGCTTGATTTGAAAGTTGAATTTGTAGCTAAGTATCTGACCCACATTCAGCACTGGTACAAGAAGGTGCAATTTAATAGTCACTGAAGACTAGATGATCACAAAGGTTCCTTTTTGACCTTAAAGTCTGTGAAGGTCTTACAACAGGTGTGAGTTAGGTCCATAGTGTAAAATCAGATACACAGATGGAGAAACTGAACAGGTACTAAGTACTTCTCAGGTACTTATACTGCAAAATGCAAACTCTGGCACAAATCCTGAGAAACCAGTTCTTGTATACTTGCTTCGTCACCGTTGTGAGAGATGAACTTGTCCTTCTTTTCACCTGACACACCAGAGTACCTGGATTGGGCAGAGAGAGGAAACGGAGCGCCTTAGCTTTCCTCAGCAGCAGGGGGAAAAGAATACAATGCTCACAGACTCCTTTTTGCTTCCCTCACCACTTCCCAGCCTTGCCCTGCCCACCAGTCCTTGCCCTTTCCCACCATCTGCTCAAGAGGAAGGCCTATAACAGTGAAGAAAAGCAGCACATGAGTTTGTTTTCTGTATAAACAGACACTATGGTAATGTCCCTGAACTCTCCAAGGCACCTTTGTTAGAGTTAATTTCTATCACACTTTATTTATAGCTTTATCTAAGGAGATAAGCTTATCTCAATACAGTTCGCTGATTTCACAGCATTGGACATAGAGAGGAAAAAATATTTTCTCCTGCTTCAAATATGTGGCTCTGTATTTGTGATGCTGTTAAGGTTCATTCTTTGAGCCATGGGAGTGTCATCCAGAGGTAAAAAGATGGCCTGTCAATGAACACTAAGGCCAAGAGTTTCAAAACAGAATTATTTAATGCGCCTCAGATTTTGGGTGCCCGTCCTGAATTTGTTTTCCAGATGTACTGAGCCACCTGCTGCTATTCTCTGGAGTTGTGGGCACTCATCGGTTCTGAAAATCAGGCTCAAAGTTCTCTCAAGCTGGGTGGCTAAAAAATCAGTGGCCACTTCTGAAAAGGATGGTATTAATGAAGTTGTTGGATATGTGTAGGCTTTGAAGAAATATACTTTTATCAGTAAATGCCAGTACACTCTGATTTCACTGCACAAGCACAAACGAATGAAAAAATTTCCATTGAAAATTGAAATTTCCATTAGGTAAAGTTTAAAAAAAAAGTGCTTGATAGCTTATTAGTGATTGATTTAAGGATATTTACCCTTCACTTTTTGATGTGATGATGACAGTTTCTGTTTTAAATGTATAAAACTTTAATTTTAATCATCTATTTAATTATTTCTGACCCACATTGCCTGATTTTTACAGCCCCCATAATCTCCTGCAATCATGAAAATGTAAATAGATAAATATGAAAAAGAGCATAAACTCATAATTTTGCGCAACTGTGAAAATTTAAATGGCTGAAAAAATAAAAAGCTTAAAAATAAATATAGATATTATCTGTTGAAATTATAAAAAAACGGAAGTCGGCCAAGCCTAAATATATGGGAAGGCCCAGATCAGGAAAAAGCAATTAATCCACATGCTTCACTGTAAGTCCATTCTTATTCAGCCAAAATGCCTAAGCATGTCTCTTATGTTAAGCATATACCTTAGTGCAGGGGTTCACAAACTTGTGATACCGCGACCCCCTCTCAGTTGCTTGCGACCCCTCTCCCCATTGCTGCAGCCAACCTCTCAGTTGCTCGTGATCCCCCAGGGGGTCGGGACCCACAATTTGAGAAACGCTGCCTTAGTGCTTTGCTGAAATAAAGCCTTAGAGGACATTTCAAATGATATTTAGAAAATGAAATTAAAAGTTTAAGAACAAGAGTGGGCGGCATGGAAGAAGGGGAGTAAGTGAAGTAAAAAGTTAATACACCTCCCCATCTCCAGCCCATCTCTGAAAAATCTAGATTTCCCTGTAGCTCAGTCCCTTGTGTAGAAGTATCTGTAGCCATATTTTCTGAAGCTGTGATCTCTTCATATCTTATCAGCTAGGCTGGGTCAGTACTTGAAAGGCAGAGCTCCGTGGTAAATCCAGGGGTCACTAGTGATTCAGTAGGTGGTGCTTTCCCCTTTTAATCAACACTAATTCCTATATGAATGTTGGGGCACAGTGGCATGGGAACATTTTAAAAGTGGGGGTGCAGAGCCTCCTTATCCCTGTCAATCTCCACCCCCAGATGAGGACAGGAGCAAAGCCTGGGACCCCAGATGCTTGGGACCCCGGTATGCGGGGCCAACAGCAGAGCCCATGGAGTGCAGGGTGGCAGCCAGGACCCAGGCATGGGGCTGGCAGCAGTGACTCCTGGCGTACAGGACTCAAATCAGAACCGCAACACACAGGCTGGCAGCAGAGACCCTGGCACACAGGGCCAGCAGCAGAGCCCCCAGTGCATGGGGCCAGCAGCTGGGACACAAAATGCTAGGTCAGGAGCCCAAGGGTGCTACAGCATCCTACTTCCTGAACCTATGTTTGGGCAAGCAGGCAGGTGGTGCTGTGTGAATGGAAGTGCCATCTTCCAGAAGGAGGTGTAAAAGAGGTCCTGACTCCTGACCACTTGTGAATGGTTGATGGGAGTACATCAAACACACATGATGGAATGTTTCATCTGCAGTTGCAGTGTCCATACATTCAGTTAGTCCAGGTCTACTCAACTTTGGAAGCCCTGGGGGCCACAATGATACTCACAGCACATACCAAGGGCTGCAACTTAAGTGTGGTTGCATGTACATGCAAATATATATGCAAATAGTTTCTTTCACACTGATGGGCATGAATACAAAGATTAAGCTTTAAGCTGTGGTGCCTGACCCAAATGTGGCCAGTGTGAGCCAGGCAACACCTGTCAGGTTCTGCCCACAAGGCTAAGCAGCCAGCACTTCTCACAATAATATATGGAGATATACCATCTCATAGAGCTGGAAGGTACTTTGAGAGGTCATTGAGTCTAGTCCCCTTCCCTCACAACAGGACCAAGTACCATCCCTAACAGATTTGCCCCAGATCCCTAAATGGCCCCCTCAAGGATTGAGCTCACAACCCTGAGTTTAGTAGGCCAGTACTCAAACCACTGAGTTATCCCTCCCTCTACTGCCCCACCAGGTTCAGCACCTCCTCCCTGGGGGCTAGAAATGCCAACACCCTGTATCCAGCTGTTCCAGCCAGCCCTTGCATCTTTCAGTGCTCACACCTCCTGGGAGATGCCTCGCTGTTATGGAGCATGTTCCCAGTGGAGGCCATGTTCAAAGGATCCCACCTGCGGGCCGTGTGTTGAGCCCCACTTAAATCCAAACTGCACTGCAGGCCGCAAACAAACGGACCATAAGCTGCATGCGGCCCTGGGCCACATGTTGAATAGCCCTGAGTTAGAGCATGGCAAGCTACTGCACTACAGACTTACACCTTGGCTAGCCTTGTGAGTGCTGTGTGTCAGATGGGGAGGGAAATACATTTTGCTCCTCTGTTACATTCTGTACAGCAAAAGAAAACATAGTTCTGATTATCACATAAATGATGTGTGTGTCAGGCTCATTAGTGTCAGCAGATGTGCCTCATGAAATAATGTACATGAAGTAAAGTATTTCTAAGGGCCCACAGGGAGATGCAGCTCATTCTAAAACCAAGGAGCCTCAGCTGCTTGCATGGCCAAAGCTTTCCATTGAGATTCCCTGCATATTAGACGATCATTGTGATGGTAAAGAAGCTAAATGAGGCCCAATGGGTTGTTCTGGGTAACTTAGAATCCATGACAAAGCTTTTTTATAGATCTAGCCTGGTTCTTATAAAACTGTCTTGTAAGCCACTTCCTGAGTGCCCTGGATACTTGCTTCACTTTCCATCAGGGCTGTAAAAACTTTGGAAAAAAAAGTTGCATAGCACATAATGAGGTATGAAGTGCTGTGTTTGGGCTGTGACTTCAGGAATTTTAGAGGTTTGTTTAAATAGTTACTCTGCACATTTCCTTAGAGCCATTGTAGGTTTTAAAATAGTTGGTGTGCACACAAACGGCAACGCAGGGAGATTTTTGGAGCCTTGGGTTTGGTACTTCCTTCCAGTTTTAGTTGACAAGAGAAATAAACCTATCTCACAATTCTAATGATGCTGTCAATTGACAACGATTTTGCTGCATCAGGCATCCAAAAAGCTGTGGATTTTTTTCTCTGCTGTGCTAGGGTCAAGGATGGTCTTGAGATTAAAACACTGGAGTGGACTGAAATCTGGATTCAGTTCTTCTCTGACACAGAGTTCCTGTGTGAACCTGGGCAAGTCCACTAGTCTGTGTGTGTCAGTTCCCCATCTATAAAAGGAGGAGAATGCTACCTCACAAGAATAGTATGAGGATATATTCACTCCTGGGTTTCAAGTGTTCTAGGGCCATATAGCTATTGAGGTAGAGTCTCCTCCTATGGATGCTAGTCTCCCCTAAGGCTCATTAATTGTCCTTTACTCCTTTTCCACAGGAAATTACCAGACCAAGCAAAAGCCCTGGTGAGACTAATGAAAAGTGATCCGGTGAGTTGACTGGAATGCAGCATGTTTAATCTCACAGCATGACATGGAACAGCTAGTACTTCACAGAACCAATCTGCCTCCACAGATACAGTGCACACATCAGTAACTTACACTTTTTTTTCTTTATTCAGAGAATTGATATCAACACTGACTGGAAGATCATCACTATATTAATTGGAGGCAATGATCTGTGCAACTACTGCGAAGACCCTGTAA